ATCTGAAGAAATTGGTTCAAATTAACCTAGAGATGAATCCCTAAATTAATAAATGTAAATAATAATTGGAATTGGCATTGTGGGATTTTTCTTGGGTTCCACATGTCACAATACATTAACAAGATTTTTAGTGGAATTTTCAGAGCCTTAAAAGTAATTTTAACCAATTAAAAATGAGCAAGTGCAATATTTAATCCTACGAAAAATCCTTTCCTTTTTCCTTTTTCTTTTTTCTCCCCTTCATTTTTCTTCTTGGGCCGTCGGCCCACACCCTCCCGCGCTCGGCCTCCTCTCTGTTGGGCCGGCCCATGCGCCCCTCCCTCCTCTCTCTGGGACGCCGACAGGTGGGCCCCACCTGTCGATCGTCTCCTACCTCCAGCCGTTGGAGCTGGAGCTCCAACCGCCGCCACCGGAACCGCCGCGCCCACCTCCTCCGCCTTCCGCGCCCCGCGCCCGCACCTCGCGCCCACGTCGCCGCCCTCTCCCCCGCATCTCCTGTCGCGTCCCAAAATGACTCTAAAATACATCCTCGAAATTATGCCTAGAATAATTAAAATCCGTGTAAAAGCCTCCAACAATTAAAATGTGCTAAGTTAAAAGTCAAATAAGGCTTGGAGGATTTTTGTATATTTTCTAAAAGCCTAAAATGCTTAAATAAATTTTAGTGGAATTTTCAGACCACAAATAATAATTAAGAAGAAATAAACAAAGTTAAAATGATTTTTATAAAAAGAAAAACCCTAAAAAGTCCTTTCCCCCCCTCCCCCTCTTGGGCCGGCTCGGCCCATCTCTCTCCCTCTCTCTCCTTTCCCCCGCGGCCCATCCGGCCTCTCCCCGCGCGCGCGCCGCTGACGGGCGGGCCCGCCCGCCACCCTCGCTGACGGGTGGGGCCCACCCGTCATCCCCTTCCTCCCGCCGCTCCCGCCGCCTCGCCCGTGCCCTAGCGCCGCCGCCGCCGCGAATCCCGCCGCCTCCCGCCGTCCACGCGCGCAATAAAGTGGGGGGAAATATTCCCCGTGATTCCCTCCCTCTTTCCCCCCATTTTTCCCTCCCTCTCTCCCTCGGATTCGTTTGGAAACCTCTCCCCTAACCTCGCCGGTGCCATCAATGGCGGCCGGATCTTCCGCGCCCGTTTCCCCCTCGTCCGACCGCTCTCTCCCCCTCCCAACCCTATATAAACCCTCCCCGTGCCTCCCTCCACCGTTTCCGCCACACGCTGCCCTCTCTCTCAGCCGGAATCGAGCTCGCGCCGTCGCTCTCTCTCTCCGCCGTCACCGCCGAGCTCCGGTCCGCCGCCGTCGTCGCCCTGGACCACCTCCCACTTCGGCGCCGCCTCCTTCGGCTTCGCCGCATCCTCGCCGACCTCGTCCACCCCTCCGTTTCACTCGCCGACCGCCGGAACGCCGCCGTCCCCGTCGACCCGAGCCGCGCCGCCGCCTTCCTCCGCTCCGGTCGCCGTTCCCGTCGTCGCCGTCGACCCGGGGTGAGCCGTGGACCGCCGATTCGTTTCCCCCTTCCCTCCCCTCTCTAGGCCGCCGCTCCGCCATACCTATGGCCGCCGCCGGCGACCATAGGGGCGCGGGCGCGCCGCCTCCCGTCGGCTGTGCCGGCGTGGCCGCCTTCGGGCGCGCCCCACGGCTGCCGTGTGGGGCCCGGCTGTCAGCCGCCCGCGCCCTCGGGTGCGGCTGACGCGTGGGACCCACGGCGCCGGCCGGTGTGAGCCCGGGTGCGCCCGGTCCACCGTGGACCGTGGGGCTGCCGCGTGGGCCCCACCCCCGTGGACCCGGTCCGCGCGCCCCTCCCCTCGGCTGACGCAATAAATCCATTTTAAATTAAAATTTAAATGAAGAAATTCGCAAATATTCATTTAAAGAGCATATAACCTTCAAATGGCCATAACTTGGCCATTTGAACTCGGAATTGGACTGTTCAAGTCTCTAATTTTTCCTTAAGAAGTCAAGAACCCATTTTTGTACTTTGTTTCTGCTTGTTATATGGAGTTTATTAGAGTAAAAGCCTTTTCTTTTCCGTTGGTCGTGTAGACGCTACAGCCTCGGAAGATCCGCTCTTCGTGGAAGTTGAAGCCGGCGTTTGGGAAAGCGAGCAAGGCAAGTCACATCATCTTTGAACATATTGAATCCCAGTTTATAAAATTATGTTGCTTTAAATTATTGCATTATCGCTTTATTTAAATTCCCGCGTTATCACTGTTTTATCTAGCCATGCCTATTTACCTTTGTTATGACCTTATTATTGTTATTGTTATTATTACCTTGTTCACCCTAGATTAAACAAAACCCCAACTAGTGGACACTCTACTCATGGTACCACTAGTATGATTTTAGGTAGATGCTTCGCTATTTAATTAGGTAACTTTAGGTGGTTTTTCAACTCTAGACTTTGGGAATATTCATATCACCTGGACACTTTGGAATTGTTGGAGTATTGTGGAATTGGATTCACACCGCCCCCTCTATTCAAAATCCCCAAAATGGTTTTAGGCTAGGCTCGGGGTGCATGGTTTTGATAGTAGCACCTCGGCCATATAAGGACCGGTCTTCGGGCCTCTGTTGCAAAGCACTACCGTACTTCCACATGTCTAGTGGGTAAGGCTTAGTTTGTGGCTCAGTCTGGTTATAAACAAAAGTACACGGATGGAGATGGACGAAGTCGGGGGTCGATGGACATCTCCAGGGCAAATGAAGGCTACACGAGCTGCGGCCCGGTAGTCGAGATGTCATGGCACAGGGCCGGTGTCCTGCTGCTAGGGGCTCAGTCCTGCCTACCTGTCCCGGGGGTTCCGGCCGTAGGTGGGATTGGGTCGGTACTCTTGTCTATGGCTAGGATGGGTTGGAAACTATGTCACGTCTTCCGTCTGTATACCGTGGTGGTATGTGGCACGTGGTTGCACATGAGGAAGATGTGTCTTGTGGGTAAAGATGTACACCTCTGATCAGAGTATAATCTATTCGAATAGCTGTGAAATTATAACCCGAGGTAATCAAGAAATAGGGTAATCAATGCAAATTGGCCATAACAAAGGAATAAGTTCACACCACCCGGTGACATTCGAAAATAAATGCACAGTTGAAATAAATAGAGAATTTAAATATAGGACCAACATGCTCAAAGGAATTGTGTTTGGGATCTGTGTGACTTGCCTTGTAATAATCGGTCTTCAATTAATCTTCTTGAATACTCCTGACGCACATGCGAACCTTCGAAACGACAGAAACGACAAGCTAACACGCAAAACGTGGAAACAGACTAAGAAACTCCAAATAAACAATACATACAAAGTAAACAAACATGTAGATCATGATTTTAGATGAATTTAGAGACTTGAACGTCCTTATTCCGATTTCATATGAATTAGTTATGAATTTTACAAGATTTAATTCCAATTAAACCTATTAAAGAAAAAGACTATTCCAAATTAATTAAACCATTTACAAATGATTTATAATTGAGATAAAAGATTAAAACAACCTCTGGTAATACATTAGATTATATTTGGTAGATGACATATATTAAAAAGAAATAATATGTCACTTCCGGATTCCTGATTCCTATTCTAATTCTATTCCACCAGCTAGATACTACTAAACTAAACATGAGAAAAATGAGAGAGCTATTGCTTGAGGTGTGTGAGTGAAGTGAGAAGGTGAGGGGTTTACATAGCCTCCCAAGGACGGTTGTGACAGTTGGAATGGTTGGAAATACCCTCCAACCGTCATTGGGAGCTAATCCACACCGTCCAGAAGAAACTCTGGATCCAGCGGCGATGAGGGAGGTTCGGCCGAACCCCCTGGTTGGGCCGAACCTGGGGCCGACCCAACCAGCCCATGGTTTGGCTCGCGGCCTCCTATGTTGTTTTTCTCCGCAGACTTGTGAATTTTGACCCAGTTTGTCGTGTCAATTCTGAGTTCTTGGCACATTCATACATAAGTCTGGTCCTCGACATCGTCCTATTGATTTATCGTTTGTGTTGATGTTGATTCTCCTCCACTTTATGATCATTCTCTGCAAAAGGTTAGTAAACCTAATACTAATGGAATATTATTATTCTAACATACTTATGCTGCAAGCATCACTAGTTCTCTCCTATTTTAGTAATATTGACGGTCGAAATTGATCGATAACGACCGTCAACAGGCTTCTTGAAGTACTAGGAGGGCATCGGATAGAGGGTATTAGCTAGTATATCGGTTAACTAGAATGTATGTATACTATGTATATTAGAAGTATAGGAATAGATTCTCTTTGTCTTTTCTTTCCACTTAGCTTACATGATATATTATGAGAATAAGTAGTAATGCTTGTGTGTCACTCTACCCTTGGATTATCTTAACCCCTACTTAGAATATGATTATCCAAAGTAATATATAAATTATTAGTCAATGTTCTCTCTACATGATCTTCCTACGGGATAAAATAAATACGATACCCTTGGAATACTCTCGGGTGAAATGCTACAATGGTATATCCGTGCGCTTGCGGATGAACTCTGTAACCATAATATACCAGGAGTATTTCTGCGTCATTGCTGGAAATTATATTTCTTGTAATGTCGTTAAGAAATACCAACACCAACGTCAGGTGGAGATGAACCTGACACAAGCCGAGGAGGAGCCGACTCTGCTCATGGCCCAAGTGATGGGCATGTTGCTTGCCGGGGAAGCGACTTCTGATCGAACAACACAACAGGTGCATCTCACTGAGAAAAAGGTGGTCATGGATCACGATGGTGATGGTGAGGGAGCAGGAGATTGGTTTTTGGACACAGGGGCTACAAACCACATGACAGGCGTACGTTCGGCGTTTGCTGATCTCGACACTAGTGTCATGGGTACTGTAAAGTTCGGCGATGGCTCCGTGATCGAAATTCGGGGGCGCGGCTGTACCGCCCTGACATTCGTTAGCAATAAACATAGCTAACTCACACCGGGGTGTTATGCATTACCTGTGATATAGTACCAGTCCCAAGATACACTAGCTGGTACACACAAAATAAATGTGGAATCAAATTAAAGTGCTTTATTACATCACTGGGTAATAGTCCTTACATAAGTTGCCATCATGGATAGGCCCATAGATGAACAATGCAACATTGCATAAAACCATAAAAGTGACGGCGCAGAAGCGAACAGCGCGGAGAACTAAACGACTAAGCAACTATGCACTAGGCAAAGAACCTAGGTAACTAACTTATTCCACAGGCGACGTTTGGGGCTAGGCACGAAACATCTAGAAGTCTTCATACTCGGCTTGCTCCTGGAGATACTCCTCGGCGGTCGGGTCGGCGTCTTCATCTTCATACTCTATAGATTATTATAAGGGGCAAGGGTGAGTACTTAACGTACTCAGCAAGCTAGGGGAAAGAATGACATGTTTGGCTTAAACAAGGAGGCTAAGGTTTTATTTGCGAAAGCTGCCTTTTTGGCAAAGTGATTTATTTCACAAAACTCCTAGTGAGTGAGTCAAGTTTTGGTTATCGGGAGGAGCCTCAAGCCTCAACCCATTCCACAAGTTGCTTTGCAACAACTTGTCACATTAACAAACAACAATTAATTTGTTTCCTCTATTAGTTTCTTTTCACTTTCACAATAACACAATTCACACAATTATCTCAGCACATCAACGCCATCATGACCCTAACAACACCTCGGTGTTGGACGACACCCCAGGTCACACAGACCCATTCCTAACCACAAAGGTTAGCCGTCTGCCACACAGGTGGACTCTAGAAACGTTACCCTTCCCAATAACCACTTCTTCACAAATATTTGTCAAACAAATCTACGCTATGAGAAACACCTTACACTCGCCCTTGACCGCGGGCACGGCTGTTTGAACAGTTCATTAATCTCTGCAGAGGTTACACGCTTTACCCACACGACACGAAACTTACACCGTCTACCCATCGGTAACGGAAGTTCATGATAAGGCCTTTCCAAAGCTAACCCATGAAAATCGCATGCCACCTAGTTGGGCTAAGATCCATAGCCGAGTATCAGGCAATGACAACCGTCATCCACTCAGCAAATACCGAGGATGTCTCCTACTCTTACTGGTATCACGCCACAATAGAGCAAAAAGACACCCATGATGGGCAATAAATGTGTAACACTTCGTCTCCTCATCCTCGGCATTCCACAACCATTGGCACACCAACTCCCATGTGATAAAAATTTACTTAGCTAGAGGCATCCCATAAATACCCGTGTGGTCGCACTGTAACGTGTTTGGATGGATTTCCCAAAGGAATCGGTCCTTAACGACAATACGTAGCCAAACCACAAAGGCATGACTCCGCATCATCACTACTTTAACAACACATTTTATTTCACAACTCCTCGGTACAACGTGCGGGATTTTTAAACATGTAATTTGGAATAACCCAAGTTTCCCACACGGCGAACAACGTAAGCATGGCTAAGCGAAACTACCTCGGTAATCGTGTAACGATATCGGCACAAACATTTTTGGAGCTATCAAAGGTATGGAAACAACAACCTACGCAATGTGAGTGTGACTACTAGGTTGGTCCGTCGGTTGTATATATAAATAATCTGAGGCCTAAACATGTTAATCGTGTATACTAAGCAATGCACTTTTCAAATAACATATCTTTGCAAATTTAGGGGCAATGTGATCAAAGAGGCTTGCCTTGCACAGGGTGCGGGTCTTCTCCCTCGAAAGTGGCGTCCAGAGCTTCCTCGTACTCGGGCTCTCAACGCGAAAATAAAACTAATAAAGAAAAGGCAATAAAACAAGCTCAAATCAGAGAAACAATAGTGCAACTGCATAGATCTCAATTTTAGAAAAAATTTAGGAACTTGAACGGGGTCAAACGGAGTTACGGCTGATTTTCTACGGATTTTCAAAGGATAAATGATTTCTCTAGAATTTTATTTATTGGACGGCTAGAGAATATTCCGTTGGAATTTTCCGCTAGGCTAACAGCAAAGGGAGGGGGCCCACCTGTCAGCGACTGAAAGAGAGAAAAGGGCGTGGGGCCTGGCTGTCAGCTGCTTGAGGGAGAGAGGGAGGTGTGGGGCCCGGCTGTCAACGGCTAGAGGTCTTCTTCCTCCTTCCTCTCGCCTGCTCGGCTCAGGGCGGCAAGGTGCCGCGGCGGCGAGGCGCGGCTCCGCAGCCGGCGGCCGGGGGAGGCGGCGGCGAACTTCGGCAGAGCTCCATCGGCGGCACAGAGAGGAGAACGAGAGAGAATAGGAGAGGAGAGAGAGATGGAGATGGTGATGGCAATGGTGAAGATGGGGCTCAGGTTTTGCCTCCTTTAATAGGCGAGGGCGGGTTGGCGCGATGCGGTGACGAGCTGGAAGTCTAGGCGCGGGAAACCGGGGGTAGCCGGCTAGCTTGCTCGGCCGGATTCCTGGGCGGAGGTGACGGCGACGCGACGGAGTGGCGTCACGCACTGGTGGCGATTCGACGGCTAAAACGACGGCGACGCGACACGAGGTGACGCGCGGAGAGCGGATATGGCGGCGGAACATGGGTGGACGATGACTACGGCCGGGAATCAAGGGTAGGGCTCTCAGAGCGAAGTGACACGGGCGACGTCATGCGGCGTGGCGATGGAACGCGAGAGAGAGGGAGAGATGCAGCCACGGCTTAGCGGCTAAGCTTCTTCCTCACGAAGCAAGCGAACTGATAAGCAAGGGCGATCGGATAAGAGGATGACTCAGCCTAGGGTTAGGGGTGACGAAAGGTGAGGTGGCGGCCGTTATCCGTTCGCGTCGACGCGACGGCGAAGGGATGGTGACGCGATGGATGGAGTGGACGGCGAGGTGACTTCTCCATGTTTCCCGGAGGGAAACCGGAGCGAGAACGGCTTGGCGCAACGCGGTTTTGGCGCAGCGCGGGTGTTAGCGCGAGGCGCGGTACACGGGAAGGCGACTCGGTGTATTGCGGCTCGGTCACGAGGCGAAAGTGGTGCGATGCTGGGTGAGACATTTCGTCTAACACCATGCGTGCGTGAGCTGGCTGGCCTGAGGAGGAGGACTTGGGCTGGGCTGGGCCGGCCTGCTCTGGGAGGAGAAGACAGGAGAGGGTGGAGGGGAGCTGGGCCGAGGGGAAGAAAAGAGAGGAAGAGGCCCAACTCGAACAGTGACATTTCACAATTATCTCAAGGATTTGGGGTTTGAAATTTTGGGAGATTTTTGGGAGAATTTGAATTTGCATTTTGAACTAGGGTATCACAGGTATTTGAAGGAAATTTCTAGGAGAGGATTTGAGATCCATTTGGCAAAAATTCAACTAAGAACCAATTTAACTCCAAATTTTTAAATGACAAACTTTTAAATAAATGCAAATAAAATACGGGTGCTACAGCGGCACGGTGGTGTTTAAGTGCAAGAATGGTGATCATCGCAAGCTGGAAGCGGTGTACTACATCCCCAAGCTACGCAAGAACATCATCAGCGTCGGCCGCCTTGATGCCCGTGGCTACGACGCACACATATGGCATGGCGTCCTCACGTTGTGTGATCCTGATGGTGCCCTGCTTGCCAAGGTACAACGTGATTCCAGTTTCCTGTATGTCCTCAAGCTAAACCTGGCCAGTCCAATTTGTTTGGTGGCAAGTGGTGCCGAGACGGCGTGTCGCTGGCACGCCCGTTTCGGACATCTAAATTCCTAGGCGCTCCGGAGACTGGCGCAGGGCGGCATGATTTGTGGACTGCTGTCGATTGATCATGTTGATGAACTCTGTGATGGGTGTCTTGTGGGCAAGCAATGGCGAACTACATTCCCGGAGGAGGCCAAGTATAGGGCGCAGGCGCGCTCGAGCTGGTGCATGGCGATCTGTGTGGTCCCATTGCACTGGCGACACGGAGGGGTAAGAAGTATTTTCTGCTTCTCGTGGATGATATGACTCGCTTCATGTGGATTCGTCTTCTCTCCGGCAAGCATGAGGTAGCGGCGGCCATCAAGCAATTTCAGGCCGGAGTGGAGGCGGAAACTGGGCGAAAGCTGCGGGCTTTGTGTACCTATCGCGGAGAAGAGTTCACATCAGTGGAGTTCACCGAGTATTGCGCTGATCGTGGTGTCAGGCGTGATCTAACAGCCCCCTACTCACCGCAACAGAATGGGGTCGTCAAGCGCCGCAATCAAACAGTGGTGGGCGTGGCGCGCTCCATGCTCAAGGCGGCGGGCATGCCGGCGCACTTATGGGGTGAGACAGTGGCGACTGCGGTGTACCTCCTGAACCAGTCGCCAACTAAGAGCTTGGACGGTGTTACACCATATGAGGCCTGGCACGGGCACAGTCCTGCGGTCGAACACCTGAGGGTGTTTGGCTGTATCGGGTACGTGAAGACAGTGAAGCCAAACCTGAGAAAACTGGATGATTGAGGTACGCGAATGGTTTTTATTGGTTATGAACCAAGATTGAAGGCGTATCGCATGTATGATCCTGTGGCGCGCCGTGTCTGCGTGTCATGGGATGTCGTCTTTGATGAGACAGCGACATGGCCATGGCGTGATCCGGAGATCGCTCAGGCTGAGGAGGAGTTCACTGTGGAGTACTTTGTTGCTCCGTCGGCTGGGGAGCGCGTCCGTGGCATAGTGGAAGAAGGAGGTGCACAGGGAGCAGACTCTGCACCAAGCTCGCCAGACACGCCAGACATGGCGCCTGTGTCTGCCACAAGCTCTGGACCTGGATCAGTCCCGGCGGTAGGTGTTGAGTTCTGTACTCTGCCGACTAATGCCAGAACTAACACCGATGGAGGCCCACGACGGTATCGCACCGTGGCAAATATGCTCGCCACAACAACCCCTGTCCTCGATTTTGATTACAGCAATGAGTGCCTGATGGCGGTGGGGGAACCTGCCAGCTTTACTGAAGCAGAGAAGCAGGCCTGGTGGAGAAAAGCTATGATCGAGGAGATGAATGCAATTAAAGAAAATAACACATGGTATTTCTGTGATCTACCACCAGGCCACAAAGCTATTGGTCTGAAATGGGTGTTTAAGGTAAAGAAGGATGCTGCCGGAATAATTGTCAGGCACAAGGCACGGCTGGTAGCTAAAGGATATGTGCAGCAGCATGGTATTGAACTATTGATTATGATGAAGTGTTTGCCCCAGTGGCAAGGATGGAGACAGTACGATTGTTGATTGCATTGGCTGCAAAACAGGGGTGGGAAATTCATCATCTTGATGTGAAGTCAGCCTTTCTGAATGGAGATCTAGAAGAGGATGTATATGTGGTACAACCTTCTGGTTTTGTTGATGAAAACAATGTTGGAAAAGTTCTGAAACTGAGGAAGGCACTGTATGGCTTGAAACAGGCACCGAGAGCTTTGAATTTCAAACTTGATAGAAGTTTGGTGTCACTTGGTTTTGTCAGATCAGTAACTGAGCATGCAGTGCATACTAGAGATTCAGGAAAATCAAGGCTGATCTTGGGAGTTTATGTGGATGATCTCATCATCACTGGAGCTTGCTTGGATGAAATTGGAAGATTCAAGGCTCAAATGCAGAAGTTGTTTAGCATGAGTGATTTAGGAAAGCTGAGTTATTATCTTGGGATGGAAGTTCAGCAATCTGAAGAAGGTGTGACAGTATGTCAGACAGCTTATGTAAACAAGATTTTGGAGAAGTCAGGAATGACAGGATGCAATCCTACTGAGGTGCCAATGGAGTCTCCACTCAAGTTGAGTAAGAATAGCTCAGGTGAAGTTGTGGATGCTACCCTATACAGAAGTGTGGTTGGGAGTTTGAGGTATTTGGTAAATACTATACCTGATCTAGCATTTTCTGTGTGATATGTTAGTCGTTTCATGGAGAGTCCTAAAGCTGATCACTGGGCTGCAGTAAAACACATACTTCGTTATGTTGCAGGAACACGGAGTTTGGGATGCAAGTATGAACGAAGTTGTAATAAAGATTCAGTGCTTACAGGTTTTAGTGACAGTGATATGGCTGGTGATTTGGATGATCGGAAGAGCACTTCAGGTGTATTGTTTCTAATGGACAAGAGCTTGGTTAGCTGGAAATCTCAGAAGCAAAAGGTTGTTGCTTTGTCCTCATGTGAAGCTGAGTATATCGCTGCAACAACTGCAGCTTGTCAAGGCATCTGGCTTAAGCGTTTGCTGGGTGAGCTGAAAGATGAGGAGCCTGGACGTGCTATATTGAAGGTTGACAATAAATCAACAATTAACCTCTGCAAGAACCCCGTGCTCCATGACCGCAGCAAACATATTGATACACGTTTTCATTTCATCAGAGAATGTGTGGAAGTAAAGAAGATAGTCGTGGAGCATGTCAGTTTTGAAGATTAGCTTGCGGATATACTGACGAAGCCTTTGGGGCGAGTTCGTTTTCTGGAGCTGAGAAGAAAATTGGACCTGATTCAGGTTCAGAAGCATCAAGATTAGGGGGCGAATGTTGACTAAATTTGTAATCTTGTGCTTCATATTTTAAGTTGTTTCTTAGACTAGTTCCTGCAAGCTAGTTTTCAGTTAGCTGCATTTTCGGATCGGTGACCCATCTTGATTCTGTTGTAGGATGGCGCAATGTATGGATCGAGTGTTTGCGTGGTCATATGCATGTAACAGACTCCAGTTTATAAGGAGGATAATAAATAGATAAAGAAGAGTGATGAAAAAGCTGCAAGTATTACGCAGCACAAAAACTCTGTTCTCTCGTTTTGCTCTGTTCTCTTCAGTAAACTGTTTCTCGTCTGAAAAGTTCAGAGTTCTAGGATAGCCACAGTTTCGCGTGAGTAAAACAGGGGATTTGTTGACAAAAATGTGACTCATATGTTTGAGTGTTGGCTTACATGTGTTCCTAAAGACATGAGAAATCTAGTTTTGATGGGTGCAACAGCTCTTTGTTGGTCCATTTGGCTAAGCAAAAATAGGGTAATTTTTTATCACAAGATGGTGTCTTCTCCTTTACAGGTTATTACTTTAGTCACCCGGTGGCTTCACACCTAGGCTATCCTTTACAAACCGGGTCTTCAGGATACTATTGTGGTGGTATCGCGACATTTGGATCCGGTGACACAGGAGTTTTTTACCCAGGAGCATGGTTGGCGATATAGTCTACGGATTGATAGCCACTAATATTTCTGTTTTGTGAGAGGGGTCTTCATAGGTCTTTCTTTGTGTGTGGCTGTGTGCATCTTATGCAGAGGTCGGGAGTGGACTCATTGAAATGTATCATCTTGGTGTATTTGGCTGAGTTTTAATAAAGCTTCCATTATCATAAAAATATCCTAATACCCCTCTAATTACCATATACTCTAACAATGTTTAGTTGAACGAAAGGTATATATACTTGATATAAATTGGTAGGATTGTTGTGTGATTGAAATCATGCAATCTTTTAACAATAACAAAGATGCAGAAATTGTTTACGGTTAGAGCTGTTGACACTAAGGATCAGAAGTTTTATTACGACACATTTCAGATTCAGAATCAGCAGATGTATCTAATGTCTAGCCATCACATATGGTGAATAATAAGATATGTCATTGAACTATATTGCAACAATGAACCAATGGGCATTACCATTCTTATGCTCTGGTTTAGCTGAACAGGACTCCTCAACACAAGAAATGATCTCTTCCTAACTTTTAGTGCTATTCATTCCTCCTCACTTTCACTAGAGGCGCACCATTGGTGCACCTCATCATCTAGTGGTATATGATACATCATAAAATATATTGTTATTTAGTGTT